CAGAACCCTATGGTACCCTTAAAGGGAACCCTAAACCCTACTTACTAAGTCCCATGAGCCTTCAAGTATAAGCACCCTTGTCCTTTTTAGAAATAATAGACAGAGCCATATACCTATATCCCTTAGTAGGAATTATTCAAGAAGGTCTACTAGCCGGTTTGTTTAGTCTTTTGGGGGAACCATGGAAAAGGACAAGGCTGAGTATAAATCACATAAGCAAAAATTAGGATAGGGATATCCCATGTAAACCCCCTTATAAGGAAGCCCATTATGCTAGGGATATCCCTATAAAATGTTTATGCTTATGTGCTTTTTTGGGTCCCTAACAAGTCGAGCCTAGAGCAGAAATGGCCGCAGCCGCGGCGGCTGCAGCATGCGCCGCGGCAGCAGCGGCGGCGCCTGAGGGGTTTAGGGTTTAGGGTTTAGGGTTTAGAACCTCCAAAACCCTTTAACTACGGAATATACAGTGTTTTGTAAAGTTTATTTGCGCAGGTTTTGCACATTCTTTAGCGCGTTATAGGTTAGAAGCTGACCCCACCCTGTAATAGTGACTATAAGGATCATATTAAGGCCCTATTATATTCCTATTATACCACTATTACAGGGTGGGGTCCCCTTCTAAGGAATATACCTTAAAATCTTGTAGGATCCTTTGGTAGGCTCCCTAATATGCTTTAAGGAATATTCTAAAATTAAGGAATATGGGAAGGTCCGTGCCTGCAGGATTTAGTGGTTAGGAGGGCAGGCCGAGCCTCCGAAGAGGGCTTGGAAGTTCCAGGCACTCCCATATCCCTTAACTGAGGAATATTCTCTAGGGCTCCTTTAAGGGATCCTTGAAGGGATCTACGGGGTTTAGGGTTTAGGGGATTGTGGCATCCCCTAGTTAAGGAATATCCCATAAATCACCTTAGGGATCCTACCACAATCTAAGGTATATTCTTCTAGGATGCCCAGTAACCTAGGAATAAGAAGGGCTCCCTTTTTGGTATTGGGTAACTTTACAAGGAACCTAGGACTACAAAAAGGGAATAAGAGTACTTCTGGCATCGTAGTCTTTCATTGAAGGATATTGGAGTCTCTGGGTTCGGGGAGTCGTGGTGGAGGTGGGATCTGCTTGAAAACTGGGCCCGGTGCGTGGCCGGTAGCTCTCAACCCTAAACCCTAAACCCCTAAACCCCTAAACCCTAAAATCTCCCCAACCCTACCCTGAATCCTAGACCCGATGCCGCTAAACCACACCACATAAGCCATAAGCACGACCCCCGGATCCGAGAATCTACGAATCCATACGGCTCCACCGTTTTGTTGAGGGTGAAAGCCTGCTGTCCCAGACCCCGGGGAGGATCTAGAAAGTAGATCAGGGCCCTATACTACTAAGGGTACTTTATAGGAGCCCCCATTAAAGGATCTACGTTTTGGATCCTCCCGAATTTCTGGGGTGTGGTAGGGTTTCCCATAGAGCCCAATAGCCCTTCACTACGGCTTATACCCTGAAGTATAAGGGGCTTCATATGAAGATTCACGGTTTCTTCCTCAACTAAGAGGTGTTGTGCTCTCTGGGTAGGGTTTGGGTCAAAACCCCAAAACGGACGGTCTGAGCTCCAAAACACCTGCCCACCAATTCCCAAAGCAAAAGACGCACAAACCGTGACCCTTGAGCCTTAAACCCCTAAACCCTTAAACCCCTAAGCCCTGAACCCTAAACCCTAAACCCTAAACCTTAAACCCTAAACCCCTCAACACTTAAACCCTAAACCCCTCAACCCTTAAACCCCTAAGCCCTGAACCCTAAACCCCTCGGTTTCCTCTTCAGGGACCCTTATAGGTGAAGGCTGCGGAGTCTTTTGGGGCTTTGGGCTTTGAGGGTTTGGTGGTGTCAGGGTCTGGTGCCCCAGACTCCACAGTAAACACCCTTAGAAGCCCCAGAGACATGTCGAAACACCCAAACACCAGGCACCCAGAGAGCCCAATACTCCTCCTCACTTCAGGTTTAGGGTTTAGGGTTTAGGGTTTAGGGTTTAGGGTTTATAACGTAAACTATAGAAGTGCCTCATATTATCCAAGGAACATTCCTTAGTCGAGGGGAATTGGGCTCTCTGGGCAGGAAGCCCGAGATATCCACCTTGAGCGCTTCCGCCACCCCCGGCGCCCGAATCTGGCACGTAGCTTGAGGGCTCTTCTTGGCGGTTCCGGCTGCACGGAGGGTTCTGGGGTTTAAGGTTTCGGGTTTTATTTAAGGTGTAGGCGTTAGGGGTTGTGCATTCGGGGCTTCTTAAACCAATCAATAGCATACGTCTATACAGACCCAAAATCGCAAGTTCTAGAAACTGAAAAGAAAAACAAGCCGAGAACTCAAGGGAAAAGGCGTTCTGAAGCTCTGGGGAGCAAACCGTCCGTATGCGATATCGTCAGCAAAATAAGGCTGCGCAAATTGGCTTTTTAATAGTAGCTCAGAAGGCAACCCGAAATTTGTTCTGCGCAGGCTTTGGGTTCTGTGTGGGTTGTTTTGGATCCTTACCCGCGGCCCTGATCGCGAAACCCTAAACCCGAAATCGCTGAATGAAGCGTCTACGGACCTGAATAAAGCCGAAATAGATGAAACTAAAATGCCTTAATCCACAACTGAACCCTAAACCCTCGGATTTGAAGGCACAGGTTCGGTTTAGGATTCAGGGTATGACTCCTGACCCTGCATCGTAGTGGTAAACAATAAGAACGCAATCAAATTCATAAGAAGCTGATAAATCGATGGAAGAAGAAAAGCGGTAGAAAGCCAAGCTACCCAAAGGCCCCAAAGTAGTTCCTTTTTGGGGTTCATATATAGAACCCTATAAGGTAATCCCAAAAAAGAACTACTACGGGGCCTCTGGGTAGCATTATGGGAGTTTCCGAAAATAGGAGACCCTAATATGTTACCCTAAATAGTAGGATCCTTACTATAAGGACCCCAACATAAAGTACTCCTATTTTCGGAAACTCCCTTATCTACAAGAGAACATGGCAGTCTTTTTGCGGGCACGGCGAGATCTACCCGTTCGGCCGAGTATGTACAATGTAGGGTTTGGGGGTCTAGACTAGGATACCCAGTAACCTAAGAATAAAAAAGCCTCTCTTTTTGGTATTGGGTAACTTTAGAAGGAACCTAGGACTACAAAAAGGGAATAAGGGTACTACTGGGCATCCTAGAGTATGTACAATGTAGGGTTTGGGAGTCTAGACCTCAGAGTAACCCAGGAATAAAAAGGATGCCCTTTTTGGCTTAAAGGGGCTTATAAGGAAACCTGAACCCTAAAAGGGGGGGTAAGGGCCTACTCTGGGTCCTAGAGGTAGGAGTTTAGGGCCGTTTTGGGTTTGCGGTTTCGGGCTCAGGGATGAAAGCTGAGGGATTAGGGGGTTTTAGCAGCACAGCTAGAAACCGAAGCAAAGAAACAGAGTTTAGGAAGCACAGGGTTTTTAGGCTGTGGGGCTTCGGGCTTAGGGATTTCTGGGGTGTTGTTTCGGGGCCAAGAGTCTTCATTTGCTCTGGGCTTGATGGTCTATGCATGTTGCGGGATTCCCTTGCGTGATCCCTAGCACGTTGTGTGAGCCCCGATACGAACCCTTACCCTGAGACTCTAATATCCCCTAGTTAAGGAATATACCTTAAACTATAGTAGGATCCCTTACATGGTCAACCTTAACCCTAACTAACCTACCTTTTTAAGGACTTAGATAAAGAAATCATATTAGGGAACCCTAGAAAAGGTAGGTTCCTTAGGACCCCTTATATGGTTCTAGGAAACTTCGGAAAAAAATTGGAGTCTCTGGGTAGAGGACCTTAAACCGCTAGTTCTGCTTGGACCTGTCAAGTCAAGTCAGCTTGGGGTTTTTGGAGTTTAGGGTTTAGGGTTTAGGGCTTAGGGTTTTAGGGGTTTTGGGTTTAGGGTTTTAGAGTTTAGGGTTGTAGGGTTTAGGGTTTATAGGGTTTGGGGCTTGTAGGGCTCAGAGTATCAGAGCTTCGGGAACCCAGAATTGGTTTCGGGCTTTCTGCTTTCAGGGGGTCCTAAGTGAAACTCCCTAAGCCCCACCCTAAACCCCAGAATGGAACCCCCTATCAAAAAAGTATATCCCTCAATCAAGGGGGAATCGAGCTCTGGGAACTCCCTCGAAACCTAAACCCTAAACCCTACACCCTCAAAACCATAAGTGCCACATGACCCCAATGAGGATCCCTTTTAGGGCCCCTCAAACCCAAAGCCCTAAACCCCGAAACCCCAAACCCTACACCCTAAACCCTAAGCCCTAAACCCTAAGCCCTAAACCCTAAACCCTAAACCCTAAGCCCTAAACCCTCAAACCCCCCAAAACAATAAGTACCATGACCCCAATTAGGATCCCTTTTAGGGCCCCTCAAACCCAAAGCCCTAACCCCCGAAACCCTACACCCTACACCCTAAACCCTAAACCCCAAACCCTACACCCTAAACCCTAAGCCCTAAACCCTAAGCCCTAAACCCTAAGCCCCAAACCCCAAACCCTAAACCCTAAACCCTAAACCCTAAACCCTCAAACCCCAAACCCTACACCCTACACCCTAAACCCTAAACCCTCAAACCCCAAACCCTACACCCTAAACCCTAAACCCTAAACCCTAAGCCCTAAGCCCTAAGCCCTAAGCCCTAAACCCTCAAACCCAAAATCTCCCCCAACCCTACCCTGAGTCCCTTTTAGGGCCCCTAAACCCTCGAGACCCTAAACCCTAAAGAACCCCAAACCCCTAAACCCTAAACCCTATAGATCCCTTAAAGGAACCCTTAAACCCTAAACCTTATAGATCCCTTAAAGGAATCCTTAAACCCTAAACCCTAAACCCTATAGATCCCTTAAAGGAACCCTTAAACCCTAAACCTTATAGATCCCTTAAAGGAACCCTTAAACCCTAAACCTTATAGATCCCTTAAAGGAACCCTTAAACCCTAAACCTTATAGATCCCCAAAACACCGCAGCTCTTTGGAAGCTCTCAGTCCATGGAGTCGAACTCCTCCGGAGCGGAGGCCTGGTATAAGCTTGGCTAGGGTACCCAGTAACCTAAGAATAAAAAGGCCTCTCTTTTTGGTATTGGGTAACTTTATAAGGAACCTAGGACTACAAAAAGGGAGTGAGGGTACTACTGGGCATCCAAGTTGGGGAGACGTCGAGGATCCTTTAAGGGTTCCTTTAAGGGATCTATAGGGTTTAGGGTTGAGGGGTTTGGGAGTCTTTAGGGTTTAGGGTTTAGGTGTAAGCTTGGGGATACTTCGAGGATCATGGGACTTAGTAGGATTTGGGGTCCCTTTTAAGGGTACTATAGGGTTCTATACTGGGCATGTAATAGGGTTCCCTTTAAGGGTTTAGGGATTTAGGGGTTTAGGGTATCAGAGGAAGAGGATCATGGGACTTAGTAGGGTTCCTTTAAAAGGCTCCTTTAAGGGATCCTTTAGGGCTTAGGGTTTAGGTTACTTAGAGGATCATGGGACTTAGTAACTAGGTAATAACTGGGGTTATAAGTCCCCTAAGTGGGGTTATCCGAATTATAACCTACTTATAACCCTACTTACTAAGTTCCATGAGCCTCTAAGTATCTTCGCGTTGCGGCGTTCAAGGCTTTAAGGGGGGTGTTTATGTCGATCGTAATGTGGTTTTTAAGGGGTGTTATAAGTCTGCTTAAGGCCTTTCTGTTGTAGCTTTCAGGGTTTTCAGCGGGTTGATGGGTGTTCAAAAGCTTTGTTAAGGGCTTGTTAGGAGTTTGTTTGTGGCGTTTGAGAGCGGATGACGGCTTTTGTTCGGTTATTCGCGTTCTTCATGTTTGGGTTTCGGGCTTTTCGCTGTTGGGCCTTCAAGTGTCAATCCCTAGGTTAGGGTTGACGTGAACCATAAGTAACCTACTTTTTGGCTAAACCCTGCACCCTACACCCCTTAAACCCTCAACTTCAAACCCATGTTGGTTGATATTATATAAGTCCTCAGAAAAGTAGGATTTGTAGGGCAGGTAGGGCTTGGAGCTTTCCGAGGGTTCAGGGTTTAAGGTTTAGGGGGTTGGGGTTCAGCTTCCGAAGGAACATGCTCTCAACCGAAATCCTAAACCCGAAGCCCTAAGTCACCAAACCCGAAACCCCGAACCCTACTTAAAGGCTCATGGAGCTTAATAAGTAAGGTTATAAGTAAGGATATGAGTTAGAGGTAGGTGATAATTAGGCTAACCCCACTTAGGGGACTTATAACCGCAATTATAACCTACTTACTAAGTCCCATGATCCTCCAAGTAAAGCTAACCCAAGGCCTGCCCACGGAAGGCCTCGGCATCTTCACCTGGCTCAGTGAGTTTACTTCGAGGATCATGGGACTTAGTAAGTAGGTTAGAATTGGGGTTATAAGTCCCCTAAGTGGGGTTATCCTAATTATAACTTACCTCTAACTCATATCCTTACTTATAACCTTACTTACTAAGTCCCATGAGCCTTTAAATTACATAATTACTTGTTTTCTGTATGATTACTAGCGCTGCAACTATATCATATCAACCGTGGAGCTTGCATAAAGCCGTGGAAACCGTTGCAAAACGCAACAAAACTTCTCACTAGCCCTAAACAGATTCAACCAGAGTTCAAAAAAGGGCCCGCCTATGAGCCGTGAGGGTTCCTTGAAAGATTCCTTTAAGGGCTCCTTTACGGGTTTCTATTAACGGTTCCTTTAAGGGTTCCTTTCAGGATTCTTCGTAGGGTTCGGGGGTTTCAACACAAAACGGGCAATGACCTCCTGTTTTGAATCGCACCCGAAAGACCGTGAATCAATCCGGTGACGTTCAGACCTCGCGGTGCACAAGGTTGAAGGTAAAAATTTCCGAAGAATGGGTTTTTATGTGCTGCCCAGCTGATCTTGCACGGCACTGCTGTCACCACCGCGGTCAGCATGGCCCCAGGTCACGACAGAGCCATCAGAAAGGATCGCAGCAAAGGCATTGTGAGTTGCATGAATCTGCCGAACATTCTTCAGCTGATCTCGCACAACGCTGCTGTCACCACCTTCGCCAGGATTTCCCCAGGTCACGACAGAGCCATCACTGAGGACCGCAGCAAAGGCGCCAAAAGTTGCTTGAATCTGCTGAACATTCTTCAGCCGATCTCGCACAGCGCTGTCGTCGCCACCATTGCCAGCATTTCCCCAGGTCACGACAGAGCCATCACCAAGGATGGCAGCAAAGGCGTACCGAGTTGCTTGAATGTGCTCTACGTTCCTCAGCTGATCTCGGACGGCACTGCTGTCACCACCGTTGCCAGAATAGCCCCAGGTCACGACAGAGCCATCAGAAAGGATCGCTGCAAAGGCGCTGTCAGTTGCTTGAATCTGCTGCACGTTCTTCAGCTGATCTCGCAGGCCACTACTGTCGCCACCTAGAAGAGGTTTGCCCCAGGCCACGACGGAGCCATCCCCCAGGATCGCAGCAAAGGCTTCTTGGGTTGCTTGAATCTGTTGCACATGCTTCAGCTGATCCTGCACAATGCTGCTGTCACCACCGCTGCCACTGGTGCCCCAGGTCACGACGGCGCCATCACCCAGAATCGCAGCAAAGGCGTACCAATTGGCTTGAATCTGCTGCACATTCTTTAGCTGATCTTGGACGGTACTGCTGTCACCACCGAAGGCAGCTTGGCCCCAGGTCACGACAGAGCCATCACGGAGGATCGCAGCAAAGGCGCGCACAGTTGCTTGAATCTGCCGAACATTCCTCAGCCGATCTCCCACAGCGCTGTTCTCACCACCGTTGTCAACATTTCCCCAGGTCACGACAGAGCCATCACCAAGGATGGCAGCAAAGGCGTACCGAGTTGCTTGAATCTGCTGAACATTCCTCAGCCGATCTCGCACAGCACTGCTGTCACCACCGGCGGGTGCTATGCCCCAGGTTACAACGGAGCCATCACTGAGGATCGCAGTAAAGGCACTATCATTTGCTTGAATTTGCTGCACGTTGTTCAGCTGATCTCGCACAGCACTGCTGTCACCACCCTCGCGACTAGTGCCCCAGGTCACGACGGAACCATCTCCGATGATCGCAGCAAAGGCAAACCTTCCGCCATAGATCTCGACTCGTCGAACCTGGAAGGTCAATGGCTCCTGATACTGCAGCCTGGCCTTTTTCAGCGGCAGTTCTCCATCAAGAACTCTGCCGGTGGAGTCCAAGAGCCGACCTGTGCCAGCTCCCAGGGCTCTTTGCGCACGCACCTTCAGCGATTCTACGGATTCGTCGTCGTGCGTCTGCAGGGACACAGTCTTGCCACTTATGAGGCTTACATCAATTGCAAGTGCCATGAGAGACTGAGGAGCAGCATTTACCGCAGCGAACTACTGTAGGTATGGTTCGGAAGTTCGGGGTTTAGGATTTAGGGGCATACCCTAAACCCTAAACCCTAAACCCGAAGGTATACCGCGGTGGAATTACTGGGGTCTTCATCGGAGTTGGGGCCCCCTCTCCCGCTGAGAACATCCTCCAGTGGTCCGGCTACGTGTTTTAATGTCGGAACCTGGTTTAGAAACCTTGGGCCTTTTTTGAAGGTTCTTTACATGAATCCTATTATTTCGGGGTTATAGGACCAGGCTTCTTAAACAGCTTGCTACGTTAATTACGTGGTTTAATTAGGGTTTAAGGGTTCAGGGGCTTAGGGCTCAGGGCCTTTAGGGTTTAGGGATATGTGATTTGGTGTTCCGGCCACTCTGCCACTCTGCAAGCGGTTTTACTGTAAGAGCTGTCCTTTCGTGCTCCACATTTGCGGCCATTTAACTTGCTCGGGGACTGTTGCCGGAAAAGGGTGAACCCAGGTTCACTGTTTCATGACTTTCCATACTATTCTTCCCACGAACCCTAAGGAAGAGAGCCCGCCCGAAGCCCAAAAACAACAAACGTCAACGCCCAAATAAGAGAGCTAAACCCTAAGCTCAAAAAGCTCTACAACCTGCAAACAACTTAACGCTAGGTCTAGACCCTCAAACCCACTTCTAAGGAGCACGAAATCCGGAGAGACCCATTTAGGGTCGGTGAAATGGTTGATACGGTTTAAGCTTTATGGTTTAGGGACAGCCCAGCGATGCCAACATGGGACATCGGCAGCTGTGAAAACCCTCCTACCCTGCAGTTTGGGAATTCTTCCGTAATCTAGTAATCCCTAAACCAAACACTAACGCTTTTTGGTGGCTCACATTCGGGGATCCCCGTATGGGAGTTTCCGAAACTGGGGGACCCCAATATAGCGCCCAAATAGTAGGATCCTTATTATGGAGAGGACGCAAAATAAGGTACCCTATTTTTTGGAAACCCCCTTATAGTTTCAGGAAGGGCTCTTTAGTCTTCAAGCAGGCAAGACGGACATCTTTTCAGCGCGCCGACCGTAAGCACCAGGGCTTTGCTGTGGGCTTGGGAACTTTATCCGGGGGAGGGGGGGATTATGGCTCGGGCTTCTTGCTTACAGCTTAGGGCTGAGGGTTTAGGTTAAGGGTTTAGGTTTGAAGGTTTAAGATGCAACTTTAAGGAATAGTGTTGGAATATTTTCAGTCCCATCTCTAGTGTGTTTCTCAGGGTGAGTTTAAGCTTATCCCAAGCACAGGCGCCCGAAAATCGTGGAGTTTAGGGTTTGGGCTTTGGACTTTCGACGGCGTCAGCGCCTGCTTCGCAGGAGCGGCTGCCCTTCACCCATACACCCTAAATCCTGAAATTGAATATTATTGGCTAAAACCTCAGCCCATAGACTCCCTAACCTCATGAAACCCTAGCCGCCTTATGCAACCCTTGGAAAAGCCCTACAGATGCTTTACAGAGCCTTCTGAAAACCGTTTCGAACGACCTCATCTCCCTGGTGCTGGATTATGGGGGCTACAACGGGGAATTATATAAGGACTACGATAGGGATACATTCCCCCCTTCCCCAGAGAGCCCAATAAGCCTTAATTGAGGAATAGAGCTCAAATCATAATATGAAGCCCCTTAGAACTCAAGGTATGTTTCTTCATAGGGATCCTTAGGGGTGTAGGGGGAGGGGGGGTAGGGGGCCTTAAGGCCCATAATAAGGACTAATAAGGCCGATTTAAGGAAATATAGTCCCCTACACCCCTCCCCCCTACACCCCTAAGGATCCCTATGATTCTTTATTGAGGGGCTTAGGGCTCTCTGGGCCCCGACTCAGCACCAGGGAGTCATCGCCGCCGAGAGTTCAGCTGCTTGAGGCGGCCGCAGAGTGGACTCCTCCCAGAGACTCCATTATCGCTTCATTAAGGAATATACCTAAGCCTAAGGGCTCCTTAAAGGGATCTTTCAGGGATAGGGCTTAGGGTGTAGAGGATTCTAATATCCCTTAGCTAAGGAACATACCTTAAATTATAAGGGACTTGATATTACAATTTCTTGTATATTCCTTAATTAAGGGGTTATGGGCTCTCTGGGCTGTGCTTGTTAGGGTTTAGGGTTTAGGGCATTGGTGTTCGGGAAAAGGGACAAGGCTCTATGCCCTAGTTCCGTAATTCTCTAGACCCGGAGACCTAAACCCTCAACCTGAAACCTAAAACTCAATGAGGGTTTTCTGGAAAATGTACAGGACTTCAGCCCAAACCCAAAGCCTTGTTTATCGTACCTGAACCCACATCTCAAACCTTAGCCCTAAACCCTACCTTAAACTTAAGCCCTCTTAGAACATCTTCGAACCATGTGGTTATGCTAACCCGTTGGAGCCTCAGTGTAGTAAAACAAACCCTAAATTCTAAGAACCCTAAACTAAACCCTAAACCCTAAACCCCACACCCCCAAACCCCTAAACCCCAAACCCCTAAGAACCCGAAGGTAAAGGACGCACACCAAGACCCTAAACCCTTAACCCCTCAACCCTAAACCCCCAAACCGCTGAGAACCCTAAACCCCACACCCTTAAGAACCCAAAGGTAAAGGAAGCACACTAAGAGCTCCAATACCCCTAAATGATGGAACATACCTTAAATCATAGTAGGACCTCATAATATGGTTTAAGGAATATTCCTTATAAAGGGATATGGGAGTTTTCGAAAATAGGGGACCCTAAGTATAGTACCCAAAATACTAGGATCCTTAATATAAAGACGCCAACATCAGGTACCCCTAATTTTCGGAAACCCCACACCCAAAACCCTAAACCCTATAGATCCGTTAAAGGATCCCTGAAAGGAGCCCTGAGGATATTCCTTATCTAGGATACCCAGTAACCTAAGAATTAGAAGGCCTCTCTTTTTGGTATTGGGTAACTCTATAAGGAACCTAGGACTACAAAAAGGGAATAAGGGTACTACTGGGC